CCCCCCCCCCCCCCCCCCCACACACACACACATGCGCACGCAGGAGAAGCTGATGACGTAGATCGACGAGTGTGTGGGTATCTGTGTTGCCTCCCGACGGACCAGCAATGAGTGTGGTGGCGTTGCCGTGGCCGGTGGAGCCGACGACGTACTCATTGTAGACGGTGACCTTGCCAATGGAGTCCTCCTCCATATATCCCTTGTGCGAGATGTATCCCGGGTTCAGACGACGCTGACAGATGGACAGACGCCATAGACAGAGACCATACAATGGATGGATGAGCAGCCACAGATGCAGGCAGGAGACACGGGATCTCTTCGCACCTTCATGAGAAACTGGAAGCCTTCCATGTCATCGTACTCAACCGTGTGATACGTCCTGCACACAACCGACACACAGGGAGGCAGAGATCTCGCCCATCCACACGCATATATGAGGCCAAGATCCCATCCACACGTCAGATCTCCCTCTCCCGACATGAGATGCGTCCATTTCCTCCTTCCCTGCACGCGTGTGTGTCCTTACTTGTATTGTTGTGCCTTGGCGCAGGTGAGTAGCGCGAGGAGGGTGGCGGCGATGACGCAGCACCCCCCTGCCATGAGGGCGCCGCGGACTCTCATGTCGGCTGACCGACAGCAGCTGCTCAGAGGCAATTTAGAGAACGAACGGCGCCGGTGGAGACCCTCCCGGCCGCACGGATGGACGAGATCAGGCGGAGGATGGAGGAGAAAGCGCTCTAGAGGTGGAGAAAAGGGCGGAAAAGATCGGGAAAGAAAAGCGACAGAGTGAGCAGGATCAATTCGCCGCGAAACGCGCGGGAAACCAACTTGGCACCTTGAATTTTTAGATCAGCTTTTTGGGGGCCGTCCGGGTGGCCAGGACGAACCCCCAAAAGCTCGCATATCATGCCGGAATGGCAGGCTGGCGAAGAGAGGGCAAGGCCTGAGCGGACGGTCCTTCCGCTGGGCGGTATGTGATCATGCGTTGGAGATGGGGCATGGTCTGGTCCGGCGGGGAGGACAACGGAACACGATGCAGTGAGATGGATGGATCCGCAAGGAGCCGGCAGATCTACGGACACTGTGTGGTTGACCGTGGTTGCAATGGGCGGACAGATGCGTGGTGCCGTGCTCGTGCATGGCCATGGTGTACATCCGTGACAGCGATGAGTGACGTACGTGTCATCAAAAATCGCTCATCACTGTGGCAGCGCATGCGTGTACACCACATGCACCATGCGCAAGCCCGCCAACTCCACGTACGCACAAGCCAGAGAGAAATCGACGAGCAGCTAGTGCATATGAATAAAGGGCAAGCACACCACACACCGTGCAAACAGGGCGGAGAGAGAAAGGCATGATTACACGAACGTGACTATCTGTCTGCCCGCCAGCAACGGCAACGCGCATGGCTCTAGATATCACTTTCCTGCCCCCTCCCCCTCCCGCTCCCCCTGCCTCTCCCCGCCCTCTGCATGCGGCACATCCTCACTGTCGTACGACACCTTCTTCTGCCACACCTGGTGACCGCCGTGACCGTGACCATGGCCATGGCCATGCCCGCCATGCCCACCACCACCACCACCACCTGCTGCTGCTGCTGCTGCTGCTTTGGACGAGGGCTTGTTGTCCTTGGGCTGAGTGCTGCTGGAGGGATGGAGCTCCCCGCCGCCGTATGACCGGCTCCTCTGTCGACCTGACTTGGCCTTGCCGCCTCTTCCGGCAGCCGGATGCTGCTCGTGGTGGACAGGGATGTCCTTGTCGTGCCACTGACCCTTGAGGATGCGCAGCAATGTGTTGACCGCATCACCACACTGTATGAGAGAGAGAGAGAGAGAGAGAGAAGTGTTGGTTGGTTGGCCATCTGCACCCAGTCAGTGTATCTCTGTCTGTCTGGCCGCCACCGCACCCACCTGTATGCCTTGTCTGTTGACGACCATCCTGCCGGTCTGTTTCCACCGCTGCAGGAAGGTGTCCTGTGTGTGCTGACTCACGCGTTCCGCCTTCTCCGTAGTCGGGCTGTACAGACGCTTCAAGTGACTCCTGCAACCACACGCACACAAAACCGGACAAACGACAGACAGGTGCTTTGACGTGCCACTGCACGTCAGTCCTCATGAAGCCTCCCCAGGCACCGCACCTGATGTCGAATAGCAGTGCGCTGGGCGGCATGCTTCTGAGGAGGTCGGTGGCGGGCAAGGGGGGAAGGGCCTGGTCAACCTGGGGCTCCGTGTAGCTCTGCACTCAGCCATCCATCCATCCATCGTGCACACGAAAAACGCATCAATCGAGGTCCATCCGTGTTGTGTTTCAGAGAGGGCCTGGCCTTTGGTTCTTGGCTTACGGCGACATGGGATTGGCCATCTGTGAAGGCAGTGAGGCTCAGCGGCAGCGCGTAGTGGCTAGCGATCAATAAAGGCACGCAAGGAGGCCCGTGCAAGCTCAGGCCAAATGCTCGTGGCTGTTTGGGTGGCCGACATACCTTTCATCTTTGCCGTCACTCGCGACCTCGACGGGGGAGAGCATCTTGACGATCTGCCGACAGAGACGGACACACGAGAGCTGGGCGTGGCGTCATGTATGTGCGTGTGGCCCACTGCAGTGCACTGCCCGTCACTGACTTGATGCAACACGCTGTCCTGCGCCAGCTGGGGTACGGGCAGCTCCGGAACCAACACCACCTGCACGACACACGAGCACACACAAAACACAGGGCAGCCACCGTCCCGTCACGAATGTCGTCAGATGCACGCTGTCAGTCTGCCTGTCCCCTCTCTCTCCCTGACTGACTGACCACAGGGACGGTCTCTGTGGTGTTGGGTTCGAGTATGAGTGGTGGCATGTCAATGCGCGTGGGGGCGCTGGCGAGTCGGGATGGGATGCGGGGCGTCTCCTTGCCGTACACAGCATCGTGGATCGCACGCAGACCTGAGACGGCCTCGCTGCTCGACACCACAAACGTGATGTTGTTCTCGCTGCAACCCTGCCATGACACAGACCACACCGGGAGGGAGCACGCGTGGATCATGTGTGTGCAATTAATTGGTGGATGGATGGATGGGATGGATGCCGTACGCCCCTTGTGCCCCTGTCTGTCTACTTGGGTGACGGCGATGATGTTGACGCCGGCGACTGCGAATGCGGTTGCGAGTCTGCCGAGGATGCCCCTGGAGCCACACATGTTCTCGCCAACCGCACAGATGATGGTGCACTTGGAAGTCAAGGTCACACTCATCGACTCTGATGGATGAACGACATCAGACGGCAGTCAGGTGCCGCGTGCCAGAACTGGGTTTCTCCCTCCCTCCCTCCCTCACTTTCGTGCATCTCTTTGTAGAATGCATTGCGCACGGCGTCTGCCGCTCGCTGGGCGTCACGGGACACCACAGCGAAGCTTATCGAGTGCTCCGATGACGCCTGCATGACATGGAAGGCACGGATCCATACACCGCAACGCACCAAGGCAGCCAATTGAATTGTCCATTCCACTCACCGACCTCCCCACCCACCAGCGCACCGACCTGTGAGATCATGACAACGGAGCAGCTGGCTTCGTTGACGGCCGCGAAGAGGCGGCTGGCGATGCCCGGTACACCGATCATCGACGAGCCCTCGAGAGTCACCAACGTGATGTCTGCTATCATCGTGAACGCCTGACACACACACGACACACACGACACAAGGACACAGTAGGTACAGACCCGTGAACACATTGGTGTGTCGATTGATGACAGCTCACTTTGCATGGCGAGACGTCCATGAGGGTGAAGTCGTCAGTGTGTGGGCCGTCGCACTCGCCGTCGTGTTTGCTGCCGTTGACGTTGGCGGCATTAGGTGGGGAGGAAGGGGCGCACAGTGGCGACACAACCTGGCTGCGGTGGTTGCTGAGGGACGGACAGGACAGGGAGGGGGGGAGAAAGAAGGTTAGCTTGTGACTGTATCGTGTTGGGTCTGTGACTGTAGCTCAGCTGACCTGATGAGTGTGCCTGATGATTCTGGTCTGAGGGAGCTCCTCAGGTGGATGGGGATGGAGTGCTGAATGCACGGATGCATCGTGAATGGATGCAACACCTGACCACACACACACACACATACACAGGGGGAGAATAAAGACACATATATAATGTCCCGCCCTGCCCTGCCCTCCCCACCGCTCACTCACCTTAGCTCCGAAATAGGCCAGCTCGATGGCCTCGGTATAGGACACGAAAGGCAGGCGGAATGCGGCGGGGACCTTCCTGGGGTCGGCCGTATAGACGCCGTCCACATCTGTCCATATGACCAGCTTGCTGGCCTTGAGCAGCGCCGACAGCAGCGAGGCCGAGTAGTCGCTGCCGTTCCTCTTGAGCGTCGTGGGTGTGCCGCTCTGGGTGGAGCAGATGTAGCCCGTCACCACCACTATGTCCACGTCGGGGTGCGTCTCCATCCACTTGTCCATGTGCTTCTGCGACTTGGGGAAGTCGAGCAGCACCCGCTCGTGCACCGACATGCTGCCCGACCGGCTGGAGGGGTCCTGCACCGTCAGGATGTCGCGGGCGTCGATCCACTCCACCTGCCGCCCCTCACCGGCCTTGTGCACCCGCTCCCGCAGCAGCGCCCTCAGCAGCTGGGCCGACCACAGCTCGCCGTAGCCCGTGATGAGCTCCTTCATCGTCTCTGGGCAGGTGCCCGTTATCGACACCGCCTTGAGGATGTCCTTGATGTCCTCGATGTCCCTCTCCAGCGTCGACTGGAAGGCAGCCGCATCCTCGGCGCTGAAGTCGCCCGCCGCCGCGAGTGTCTGCACCGTCTGGATGTGCTTGTCGTGGATCCGGCCTGTCAGCGACAGATAGCCGGCCTTTTCGTCCTTGTGCGGGGTCTTCTTCCGTACGTGGAAGGCCGCAGCCGCCTCGGTGCATGAGGCGAAGAGGGAGTCGGTGACGCCTGCCATGGCAGAGACCACCACCGCCAGCCGGGCAGGGGCAGTGGCCGCACTCTGCAGCACCAGGGTGGCCACATTCTGGTAGCGATCAGCGCTGCCGACGCTCGTGCCGCCGAACTTGTGCACCATCCATGACGGAGGCATCACGAAGGACGGATGCTCCCCGGCCGATGACATCTCTGCCGATGGATCACCACAGATCTCTGCTCTCTTGACGCCTTCTCTCTCCTGCCCGCTCAGCTGACGACGCGGTTTCAGCTGAAGTCTGCGAGCTTAGATTGCATCCACCTGGAACATCGGCTTAAAAGGCTTTGCAAGGTACTCACCCGTGAGCGCATACCGGTCGTCTTTTCCCGTTTGAGAGGCGACCGCGATGAACGGCGACAAGAAGGCGGCCGTGGACGCTGCGGGGACCGTGGCAGGCTATCGGCCATTCCGCCTGGAGCGCTGGTTTGCAAAGTATGAGTTTGATCCCAAGATCAAGCACTTGCTCTGCTGCAGGTCCGGTCGGCAACCAAAACACGACACATGACATGCATACGACGCAGGGAGATCAGCCAGCCCTCCATTGTGTGTGTTGGCTGCAGCGATGCCGAGGCCCTTACGCTCAAGGAGGTCAGCATCAAGAGAGACCCTTTGTCGTACATACAGACAGACGCTCCTGCAGTGCAAACCAAGGACGGTCGTTTCGTGTGTGTGTCGTGTGTAGCTGTTGTCGCTGGCTGACGATGCCACTCGCCAGCAGTGGGATGAGCTCAAGCTGACCTACACCGAAAGCCAAGGGGATCCTGCTCTGCGTTATGAGATATCGACCCTGTACCCACACACGACAACCGACGACATCGTGACTGCAGTCCCCGAAGTAATGAGCATCATCGCTGGACTGCACGCGCACGTGACATTTCGGTGTCTGACATTTGGTTGCTGATCAGGAGGCGATTCTGATGGCCTTCTGGGCGCTGCTTGAGGACGGCGGACGTGTGGTGGTGATGGCGCCACACTACCAATCCCTGTCGGAGACCGCCATGGCGCGGGGCTGTCAGGTGGATTTCTGGACGGGCCGGGAGCGGGAGGGGGAGTGGATCTTCGATGTGGATGAGCTGGAACAGATCGTCAAGTGAGCCGAGCCCCCTGGCACGGCACGGCAGGCACGTGTGGGCTATTATGTATATGCAAGTGTATGTATGTATGCCCTTCTCCTTCATTGTGGGCATGGCCTGGCTAAATTGACTGACTGACTGACTGCAGCTCAGGCCCCAAGCCGACTGTGTTGGTCGTCAATTTCCCCCACAATCCCAGCGGCTTCGTGCCGTCACCTGCAGGTACAGGCAGGACACACACGGCATCCCATCCAGGCAGGCAGGCAACACACAGAAGGGCACATGCGTCAAGTGAAGGAGAGTCCCCTCGTGTGTGTGATGGATGGCATGCATCTGATTTATCAATCAGAGTGGGAGCGCATCATCTCCCTCTGCCAGAGCCATGAGATGTACCTGTTCTCTGATGAGATGTACTGGGAGCTCTTCCACACCACGCCCCCGCTCACGTCAGCGGTGTCGCTATACGACAAGGCCATCACCCTCAGCGGCATGAGCAAGAGCTACGCACTCCCCGGCCTCCGGCTGGGATGGCTGGCGTGCCGCGACAAGGAATTCATGGCGAAGGTGCTGACCTTGAAGGACTTCACCACGATTTGCGGCCCGGGACCCTCGGAGGTAATGAGCAATAGAGGCAGACAGGGAGGACGACAGAGAGGCCCGTCCAGTAGTGATGGGTGTGGGGTGCATTGTCGATGTATGTTGTTTACCAACCAGGTGTTGGCTCTGATTGCGTTGCGCAATCGCGAGAGGATCCTGCAGCGCACCCGTGCTATCATCTCGGCCAACGTCAGGGCGCTCAGGGCGTTCTGTGCCGCCCACACCTCCGTCTTCGACTTCCGTCAGCCAAGGGGGGGACTCATCACATTCATTCCCCTCAAAGGTCCCCACGCCATCACACATATCCACTCCACGTGCACCCACAGCGACAAGGAAACCTGTTCCCCACCTACTCATGGCTCATTGATGCAGGTGCTGCAGCGTCGAAGGGCGCCGGTGCGTTTTCAGAGGAGCTGGTTCGCGAGGCGGGCATCCTGCTGCTGCCGTCGGATGAGATGGAGATGGGCGAGACCACCGGCTGCCACTTCCGCTTCGGCCTGGGCCGTGTCAACTTCCTTGAGGGGCTGCGGGCACTCCACCGATATCTCAGCTCTGGGGAGGGGGCCACAGAGAGCTGGTGAGTGTGCCGTGTCTTGAGTTGACAATGTATTGTTAATGGCGTCTGTGTGGTGTGTTGTGTGTTTGTGTTGTTCAGGTTGACTGAGGACATGATCCTCCGGCCCTCGTCGCTGTCACTGGGAGTGGATTTGGACGGACGAGTACATGAAGGACCTGCTGAAGAGCCACGGACTGGAAAAGGACGAACCCAAGGTACACACCAGAATGACACGGCCAGGAAGGCAACAGTGGCGGCAGCAGCCATCCACGCCATCCATCCATCTGTAATGTCCTTTGTCACATCTTTTGCAGGCTTCCCAGTGAGTGGTACGGAGCCCGGTGCGCACACCTGAGCAAGGCTTAGGCATTTGATGGTGCGTGTGCTTTGGTCAAGAGTGGGTGACCCTCTGTGTTTGTCATGTCACGTGTGGCCACGCACTGTTTCATGGACTCTGCAATGATGTCGCCTCGTCATGGCACCCTGACAAATCGTTGATATAATAGTCATGTCTGTCATTCGTGAGTCATGATCACTCACACCACACCACACCACATCACACCACATCGACCGTCTGTCTGTCTGTCTGTCTTGAAAAGCTCACCTCACCTCACCCCCACACACGTAGTTGCATTGGCCGGCATGAATGACAATTGTGTCCATCTGTATGTGATGGATCGATCCTTGGCACCACCCCGCCCGGCCACCTGTCGGCCGGTCACACATGGTCACACAGGCAGGTAGGCGGGCGGTGATGAAGCCACATACTCACTCGCAAAAAGGCAGAGACGCCTAGGTGGATGGATGAATGGACACACATCACACGTACACACATGATGGATGCAGGTAGGCGAGTGAGTGTCCCACGCAAGGCAGGCAAGTCGAGCAAAACAGGCAAAAGAAGAGGAGGGCCGTCCGTCCGTCTCAAGACACGCACATCATCATCATCATCACGGTATCAGCAGCACTAGAGAGGAGTGCTCTGGCAACACCTCATGTTCACCAGGCAGACAGACAGGGAGGCATGGAGGGGGGAAGCTTAAATCACACTCACTCTCAGGCCGTGCTGTATCAGTCAATCTTACTGTACACACAGTCGTCACGGAGGCATGCAGCAAAGAAGACTGTGTCGGCTCCATTCGCAGACCAATCCGCTCACTCACCCACTCAGTCAGACAACACATACAAGACAGCAAGGACCGACCGACGGACGGACACATCAGAGCGTCACGCAGCCGTGGCCGCCTGTGTCTCAGTCTCAACAATGGGCAGCTCGTCCGCCTCTTCCTCGTCCCCCACCGTGGCCGTCTGCTGTTGTTTGCCGCCCTTGGCCTGTGCCTGCATCCTCGCCGTCGCCTGATCCGGCGCCACGTTGACCACCACCGTTGCCATGATGGTCTCGTACACCTTCACCTCGGCCGTCGCCGTGCCGTACTCGACGATCTGCAACCATAGATGCGATTGACAGGCAGGAACCCATTGATCGATCATATAGTAGAGGAGGACAAGAGTCATCTTCGTGTGGGGTGCGTCGGTACGCACCTCTTTAGAGAGCTTCACGTCTTCTGGAACAACTCCAAACCCCAGCTCTGAGAGGCCCTCTGCGACGTCCTTGGGACTTACAGAGCCGAAAAAGGCCAATCCTCGTGGGTCAGCCCTGTGTTGTGGTCAATGACATGGCAGAGGCGTGTCGGCGGTAGAGCTGAGAGCATGGCTGCCCTCCCTTGACTGACTCCTGTGACGTACCTGTTGGGATTTCTGATGACGACAACGCTCGTTCCCTGCATGGACGCCTTGGTCTCCTTGGCCTCCTTCAGACGCTCCTTACTGCAGCGCAGTGAACGACACACCATGTATAGCACACAGCACAGCACACATGCATGTCAGTACAGCCAGCCAGTCAGCCAGACCCCCTTCCTTGTCATGTCCTTGTGTCGGAGTGTGCCTACCGTACCGTATTGCCTCTTCCTTCTGCAGCTTCGACTCAAATGAGACGATGTCATTGGGGGTCGCCTGACGGGCACGCTTGAGCGGCAGGAGGCTGTTGAAGGCGTACGCCGCCTTGACCGTCACCACGTCACCCGGCTCGCCCAGCGGCACAATGCGCTGCACCCAACAGGGGAGGGAGGGGGGTGGACACAGACAGCAGATATCAGACATGAGACACACTGGCGCACTCTGTCGCATCAACAGAGTGCATGATTCGCTTCGTGCGCTCCTGTCTGCCTCTCTTGCACCGCATAGCCATATGTGCCGCGGTAGGGTGCCCCGTTCTCACCTCGAGCAGCGTCACTTGCCATCGATCACTCTTGCGGCCGGCGCGAGCCTTCATGGTCAGCAGATTCGCCCCTCTGGTGGCCCGCTGCGCCCCATGTGACCGCCTCGGGTGCCTGAAGGCCGTCCTGGTTGGCAGAGGGGAGAGATCACCGCTCCGGCGTGGGTGAAAAACAAAGGCATCGGCTGCGGCAGCAAATAGTGACGCAATGCTGACCGTCACCAATGGCATAGCCTTCATCCTGCCGTTCCCTCTTTTCAGCGTCCTACCTGCGAGCTATTGTTTGAGCTTGCCTTGTGTTGGCCTTTTTGAGCTGTTGCGTGCATTTGAGAGCGTACCTGGTTCCACACGCAGCCTGTATACCGCCTGGCACTGTACATGAAGCGCAGTTCTTTGAAGCCTCGCTGCTGTAAGTGATACATGAAGACGACGTGCACACAGATACCAACTGCCTGTGGCTCGCCCGCTCACACGTGGCTGACTGTGCTCTCTCTGTGCTTCACAGGTTGACGAATGTCCTTCCTTTTCTGCGAGAGTGAAACAAGCAAATGCCACACGGATTGAGCAGCTTGGGAGCATCGGCAGCATGACGGTGCTCACTTGACCATCGGCATCACCGCAGGACGCTCGTTCATCGTTCACAGCGTCATACTCGCTTCACGACCACAGCTTCACCCACCTCCCGGCCTGACGGCATTCGGCCACTCATTTTTGTCAGTGGTGGGAGCGGCATCGAGACATGGCTGCCGAGTGCGACATCGAGGCGCCCGTCGACGAGACCGAGGAGATGGAGCGCATCGACGAAGACGAGGGCGACAGGCGTGAGCCTGTAGTCAGGAGGGCCCGACGCACCCCCAGCGACAATGGGGAGCCTGACGAGGCGGAGATTGAGGCCCAGGTCGATCGCGAGAGGACCAACCGAGTGCGGAAGAAGGCGGCGGGCAAGAAGGCCGGCAAGAAAGGCAAGAGGGGGATGCACCTGCAGAAGAACGACAAACAAGCCAAGGCCTTGCTGCTCGTCGAGGAGCTCAGGGAGAGCGCCGAGCGACGACGGGCCGCGCGGGCGCCCCGGTCTCGGCCAGGCTACTTCCGGTTGTCGTCGGATCCGGTGCTGCTTCCTGATGTGAGTCCAGCCGTCCACAGACTGGACCGCAGTGTGTCGGCTCCCCAGGCCGCCACCCATCCCATCCCCCATCCCCTACCCCTCCCAGCCTTCTCACTATCGTCCCTGGCCTTCGCACATGTCATGAGCGAGCAGCTCCAAGTGCCCCAGCCGCCACAGCCCAGCATGAGGTCATCCATCGACAACGGTGCGTCGCCCTCGCCCATCAATGGCGAGGAGGAAATCGCCGAGGAGGAGAAGAGCCCCGAGCGGAGCCCAGAGGCGCCAGAGGCGTCCCCTTCTGACATTGGGACGGTCCGTCGGGCGGTATTTGACTTGGGCATGGGGTGGGGCGAGGGTGACGAGGAGGCAGAGGACAAGGGCGTCGAGTGGATCCCTGTGGACGAGGAGCATCACGCGCAGCTGGTGCAGACGGCATTCAGCAACGCCAAGCGGCAGTACTGCGGCTTCATCCAGCACGTCGCGCGGGTCCGGCGGGCGACGGTCGTGCCATATGCCAACCTCATGCGCCGGCCCAACTCGAGTGCCGTCCCGTCACGAGACGAGAGCGGCCGCTCGCAGCCCCAGAAAAGCCCCTCGTATGGCGAGCCGAGCCCGTTCGACATGGCCATGGGCATGGAGCAGCAGGATGACAGTCAGCAGGCGAGCAGGGACAGGGACGAGCCGGACCCCTTCTTCGGCAAGGTCCTGCCCCGCAAGCCCAAGAACAGGGAGGTGGAGGTGTACCTCAGGCGGTCAGATCTCCCACCGGCCTGGCAAGAGGTGCTCTCGGCCAAGGCCTTCCAGGGCAGACCCGGCCAGTTGCGGGTTGTCTTCTATTCGACCGAGCCCTCACCGCCACCTGCAGAGGGCAGCGGCACCGTCAATGGAGAGGGCAGCAAGGGGGAGGGCCAACCACAGCCGGCAGGGCAAGAGGAGCAGGGCGACAAGGCGAGCGAGAGTGTCACCGAGCGGTATCTGAAGCACGCCACCATCGAGAATGCCATGGATCTGCTCTTCCCCAAACAGCAGCCGCCACCACCGCCCCCCTCGTCAGCAGCTGAAGGCCTCGAGCGTGATGGTGATGCGTACGTGTTGCGGCTTCCCTATGAGTCCATCTTGCACATCGGCATGGGGCACGTCGACCCTGACGATGACGACGAGGAGGAAGGGGACAAGAACGACGACGACACATGCCTGCGGCGCGTCTCTCACAAGGACATGGCCGCCTTCGGCCGCACCGCCATGCAAAACGACCCCGACCCGCTGCGCAAGGGACGCCTCGCCGGCATGTCGGTCAATGACGTCTATGTCCTGATCCTGCGGCCCGACACCCGCGAGGAGCTGGAGAGGCGGCTGCAGCTGAAGCTGGTGCTGGAGATGGGGGACCTGTGGCGCTTCATGAAGCTGCGCAAGGAGACTGAGGAGAGGGAGGAAGAGGAGAGGAGAAGGAGAGAGGAGGAGATGGCGGTCGCCTCACATGCGGCACGCAAGGACCACGACGCTTCCATGCGCGACAGGTCTGACCGGTCGGAGGGTGGCTCGGAGCCACGCGCCCGCAAGAGGTCCAAGCGGCGAGACAGGAAGGCGTCCCTGCCACCGGATGACGAGATGATGGGTGTGCAGCCCGACCAGCACCCCTACACGGTGCCTGACGACATGGCCCACCAGGCTGACGGCATTGAGTTCTCTTACGCCGACATGAACGGGACCGACGAGTACGAGCCGTCGGCGCGTCGCGAGAGGAAGGCTTCCCCCAAAGAGAACAAGCGCCGGCGAGCATCGCAGAAGCGCAAGCTGACTGAGTCGGCCACGTGGGACCTCCCCAAGATGCCCAACGACCTGCTGCCCGGCGAGCTGCCCATGAAGCGGCTGCCTGGCGAAGACCACCCCCACCCCAGCCAGGCGCCACTGCGGCCCTCACCCAGCGGTTCGTCACAGGGGTCTTTCCAGCAGCCACAGCAGAAGAGAAAGAAGAGGGGGGCAGGTCGGCCCCCGAAGAAGCGCAGCAACGACGAGGAGGCGCAATCGCACCCATCTGCAGCGGCGAGGGAGGCGGGGATCAGCAAGGAGGTTTTCAACCGCCTGAATGCCATGACGGACGAGGAGCTGAGCGAGGCCATGGAGACCGTAGACACGCTCTGGCGCGTGTTCCAATTCTACGCCAAGCGACAGCGCGACCTGCACCGGGTGTTCGACGGCATGGCCAAGCTCTCGCGATACAGACACAAGCAGTGGGAAAGGTCAGAACCGCCACACGTCACACACGCAGAGCAGAGCAGAGTGACCCGCTCAAGATTTGTTCATGTGTGTGCCGTTCGTTGCATGTCTGTCTGTATCTCTGTCAGGTATGTGGAGGAGCAGGAGTTGAAGCGGCAGGAGAGAGGCGACGAGTTCGAGTGGGGTGTGCTGCCCGCCCTGTCAGAGGCCCTCCCGTCCCAGCTCGTCCCCCTGCCCCGCGGCTTCCTCGTCGGCAGCCCCGACGAGGCATTCGACTTCAAGAAGGAGTTCGAGGAGAAGATGAAGGGAGGCGCTGTCGCACCACTCACCGCCAGACGGGGACCATTCGCAGGCCCGGCAGGTGCAGCCTACTCGCCCATGCGGCCGGCAGTCCCTCTGCTGCCCGCCATACCAAACCCCCCACCTGTCCCCGACCAGGCCATCGCCCAAGAGGGCCCCGACGCATCGCCGCCCAACCTGTCGCTGCCTGGGGCTGTTGTCCCTGTGGCCGAGCCGTCATCCAACGCCAAGCAGATCGCCGAGATCCCCCAGCCGACGGTCAACAGAGACGAGGCGATGGAAGATGCTCCTCGTGGCGGCGAGCAGGCGTCCCCCGGCAAGAGGCCCATTATCAAACGAGAGGATGGCGAGAGATCTGATGGCGATTTGGAGGAGGGTGAGCTGCGGGAGTGGGTGAGGAAGCGGGACACCATCGCATCCATCGAGCCGAGGATTCAGTCGAGCGATGAGGAGATGCCGGCCGCCGCTCCCGCGCCGCCGCCACCACCACCACCAGAGCTGCCGGCCATCGCCACTGTCCAACAGCCACAGACAGAGGAGCCCGCTGCACCATCACCTCCTGGTGGCGCGGAAGCGGCTGAGGTCGAGCCGCCCAAGACGAAAGAAGAGCCGCCACCCGACGAGCAGCACGGTGCGACGAGATGCACAGTCAACAGCCATGCACGCACCCATTGAATGACTGTGAATGCGTCTGTCTGTCTGTCTGTCTATGTTGTCGTGGTCCCACAGGTGATGTTGCGGCGCCTCAACAGGATGACAGTGGTCCAGTCGAGACGGAGGCTAGGTCAGCTGCGGAAAAGGAGGATGAACGGGCTGCCATGGCAGCCAACATCCTCATGACACTCAGGGCCGGGCGATTGGACGAGCCTCTCCCGGCTTCCGACGAGCCATCCCCCCTACCACCCCAGCCACCACCCCAATCACCACCCCAGCCACCGCCCCAGCCACCACCAGCGACTTCAGCGGCGCCCCCACCAGCAGTGGCGCCAGTGGCACCAGCAGCCAAGCCGGAGGAGGAGGAGCCCGAGGCGGTGGCCAACTCGTCAGACGAAGAGGAGGAGGGCGTGACCAGGATCTCGCGTTTCAACCTGTCTATCACCCACAAGCCGCCGCCCATCGACGAGCACAAGTCATCCGAGGACAAGGGCCGGGGCTATATGGTCTTCTCGGGCAACGTTCTGGGGCCTTCCGACAAGTGGGAGCACACCCGCATCAAGCACCTGCCCTACGACGCCTTCAGGATGAACAACGTCTGCGAGATTAAAGTCACATGCGAGGCCCAGAAGGTCGGTGCGGTGGGGGCGGGGCGACACGACGTGTGAGGGAGGGACAAGTGGGGGCACTCACTCTGTCTGCGCCTGTGTGTGTGGCGTGTGTGGTCAGGTTGAGGATCCATTGCGGGATGAGCGTCAGCGGCAGCAGAACTCGGTGTGGACGTTCAGGGAGATCGAGGCCTTCATGCAACGCTTCATGCAGCACCCCAAGAACTTCAGGCGGATCGCGCAGGCCATCGAATCCAAAACCACCAGAGACTGCGTGGTGAGCACCGACAGACAACACACACCACCACATGCACCCACCGCCGTCTGATCATCCATCCACTGTGTGCGGTGTGTCAACCAACACAGGAGTTCTACTACCTGCACAAGTACAAGTACGGGTTGAAGCAGTACTGTGCCGACCACACCCACATCGCCCTGCACCGCCCCGGGCAGGCAGCAGCCAAGGACCGCGACGCCCAGCTGCCGCAGCCCCTCCCCTCCGATGTGAGTGTGGCCAACGAGGCCAACGAGCCGGCGGAGAAGGAAGGGTCCGACCAGGCTGAGAGCCTCGCTGGGTCAGCCACGGGGGCAGGCGAGCAGCCAAACAGGAACGTTGTCAAGCACCAGAGGCATCGGGAGCTGAGAGAAACGGTCATCGATGAGGTAGGGCGGGCGGGCGGGCGGGCAGGAAGGAACAACACATCAATGAACGGGACACAAGAGTGCATGATGGTATGTATGTGTCTGTGTCAGATTCGCGGCAAGCTGACCAACTTGGCTCTCTCTCTCGGCATGGACGCACCAGAGTTTCGTGGTGGTGACGACAACGAAGGCTCCGAGACTGAGGAGCCGCCCCGTGCCCCCGCACCCCTCATCGACATCCCTTCCGACGGCGAGGACGAGCGGGCCATGCGGGGCTACATGAAGGGCGTCAGTATGGGGTACGTCTCCGACTACCTCCTGCTGCAGGCCTCAAGGAAGACCAACAAAGAGCATTACGACCAGCTGCACAAGAAGAGACAGGAGGAGAGAGAGGCGGCCGAGAAGGAGAAGGCGGCGAAAAAGGCCGAGCCCAACGCCCCGCAAGCGCCGAACGCAGACGACGATCAGCAGGCGACGGCGCGGCAGCTGGCGGTGGACACCGAGTACGACACGCTCAAGAATGGCTACATCCTGCCCTGCTTACCCAACATGAAGGACGCCGTGTCCTTCCACGTCGGCCCCTCCCTCCAGGTGCTGGGCTACGTCTTCGATTGCGACGGCAACGCCTACCCCCTCGAGCATCCCAAATCCAAGACAGCCATCGGAGAGTTCCCATTCATCCCACCACCACCACCGCCACCGCCACCTCCCCCCGCCAGAGCATCGCCAGTCGTCAAGGCCGAGAGCAACCCTGAGAGCGAGAGCAGCGGGCAGGCAGTGGAGGTGCGCTCACGCCCGATTCAGCCCGACAGGATGGGGGCCATGTCTCCCGACCGTGAGCGACGTAAGCGCGCCGCCCGCCCTGGTGTGGCCAGGAAGGGTGACGACGCGGACCATCCGGGTGACAGGATGGTGGTCAGGGACCGCCCCGAGCAGCCTCCCCGCAGCCCCACGCAGCGCAAGAAGAAGCCGGTGGTGCATCCGGACTACTTCACGGCCACTTACAGCGACAGCGAGGCCGACGAGAGGGACGAGGAGGAGCGGCAGCTGATCAAGGAGCTGAGGTCGCCCGGCATCCCACCACAGGCACCTGCGGCTGCTGCTGCTGCTGCAACTGGTGGTGGTGGTGCATCAGCTGACCATGGAGGGCTGCAATCCGCTTTCCCATCGCTGCGTCAGACGGACATCGGTGGTGACGGCGGTGAGGCCAAGAGGCGCAGGGTGGGCCCTATGCCATGGGGCGGCAGCGACAATCGTGACCAGGTGCCTCCGCAGTTCCCGCCCCCCGACCGGCCCGACACAGAGCGGCACTCGCTACGGGATGGCGACTCGCACCCATCGACTTCACCCTACCCCAAGGAAGGCCCGCCGACTCCCGTCAGCCCGCCGCCCAAGATGCACATCGACCCGAAGCTCATCAGGCGTATGAAGGAGAAGCCGAAGACGGTAGGAGACAAGGGGCCACTCACCACCAGCAGCAAGGAGGGCATCCGGGTGCCGCTGCAGGCCCCTCGGCCTCCTCAGATGGGTGGTGCCAGGGGGCCGGTGCCCACGGGCTTCCCCGTCACCCGTCCAGGCACACTGGGCACTGTGCCTGTGCGCCCACCGACATTCCCCATGCAGTCAAGGCCTCCTGCACTGTCCATCGTCCACAGCCGGAAGCCGCAGTCGCCGTCGCCCCCACACCACTCAGAGAGAGGCAGCCGCCCCCTACGCCAACCGCCGCCAGCACGCAAGAGGGACCGCGTCGACCTCGATCAACGTCCTGAGGGAGGAGGGCAGCAGGAGATGGCAGAGGTGGGCCCCCCGACGGCCCCCGACACGTCGCCCATTCGGTCGCCCTCGCGGAAGAAGCTGCGGGACGAGATGCACGGCATGGGGTCGGGCTACCCGCCATCATCAGCCCCGTTTGTGCCGAGAGTGTACCATCACGGGCCTCCGGCGGCCCCTCCGTCTCGTCCGTCATTGCTGGCTTCGATAGAGGGTGTGCCAGGGAGGGGCGAGAGCTGCCCACCGATGGCACGGAGGGAGGGAGAGGGGGAGGATCATCACATGGGCAGAGACGAGGGCCAGCCGGCTGCGGCTGGCCCTGCTGCTGCTGCTGCTGAAGCGGACCGGGAGAAGGCCCGGGACGACAGCCACCTTGTTGCCAAGGCAGCGTCGAGCATGCAGCCACGCGCCAAGGCCCTGGCCCGCCCCAGTTCAGTGACCGCAAGCAGCCGTGCGCAGCAGCCTGGATCGCAGCCATCGGCACCACCACAGGCTCCAATACACCCTCACTCATTCTACCCCATCTACCCTGGTCAAGGCGCCGCCACGCCCGGCAGCCCCGACGCAGCGAGGCATCCACCTGCCCCTATGTATGCCGTCGGACCACCCATCCCACCAGCCAGCGGCTCCCCTTCGGCGCATCAACAAGCCCTTCAGTCCATCGCTGCTGCCCGCGGGACACCAGCCGCAGCCGCCAGCCCTTCCCATCCGCCCATGCGTCCTCCTCCTCCCGACGCATCAGGGATGTCTCGTCAGCTGTCGATTGGCGGGTCGCCCACTCACACGAGTCTGTCCCATCACGTCTTACCGCATGGGCAGCTGGCGGCCGTGGCTGCACAGCAAGGCGGAGGCGGTGCTCGTCGGTTCTTTCCGCAGTTTGTGCAGCGTCAGTCGAGCGACCCGGGGCAGCAGGCAAGCGGGGATGCCTCAGGGGCCACCGGAGTGCGAGCGGCGTCTTATGGAATGCCTGCGATGGTCATTCAGGCCGGGAGAGCGGCAGCTCCTCCTCTCACTCTCAACAGGACCGATGACGGTGGAACAGCTGCCGCTGCAGCTGCTGCAGCAGGTAAGCAAAAGCCGCGAGAGAAGAGTGTTGTCTTCTCGCTGAACGCTGTTGCTGTCTTTCTTGTCAACTGTCTGTCAGGTCCAGCAGGTGATGTCGAAGAGTCGAAGGTCAGCCACCCGATCCCGCCTCCACATGGCCATCAGAGCCCTCCGAGCTACTCGCCAAGCATGGCGTCTATCCCTCGGGGTGTCCACCCGCCCGGCCCCGGCCCGTTCACGCTCTGGCACTCACACGGGAGGGGGCCTGCCCCAGGTGGTCACCCGTCACAGCGGCCCAACGCCTCCCCTCTGGTCTACAACGCGCAGCCGTTCCACGGAGGCCGCCTGGTGGCGTCAGGCATACCCAGCGTGTCATTTGCTCCGGCCTCGATACACGTACGTCGTGTCGTACCCACTTCCCATCCCATCCACACACACGCGAGTCGAGTGCACCTTTCTTTCTCACATATGTGTCTGTCTGACTTGTCCTTCCACGTCATTCATTGTTTCAGACTGGTGGGCATGGTGGCCACCTTGGGCCCCCGGCGTACTCGAACTCATTCGCTACCACTTCCCCGCCGCCGCACCCGGGCATGCCGACATCAGGCACAGTGCCCTACAGGCCACCACCCACGCCATCGATGGCGCCCTTGCCGCCTCAGACACAGGTGGCACCGAGCCAGCCGAAGCCAGCCAAAGGCGACAAGCCAGCGCCGGCCAGCCGGGCCAAGGGCAAGGCGCGGAGCAGCAATCGCCAAATGGTGAGGTCAGGAGGAGGGCGTGGACGCGGTCCAGCAGCAGCAGCAGCAGCAGCAGGAGCTGGAGATCAGGCGAGGCCGCCGACGGCACATCCGATTCAGCTCTCGCCGGACATGGACCGTCGCGTGCCTCCGCTGAGCAGCCCTTTGGGTCTCCCTGACCATGGCGATGCCACAGGTGACAAGGCGCACGAAAGCAATGTGGTTCTACCGTCCCCTGCGGGCGGGATTGTGTCGTCATCTCCGCCTGGCGAGCGAGTCGATGAGGAACAGGGCAACGGGGCGGCAATGGTGAGCACTCACTGCACCGATAGCTATAATCACATTCATTCACCTTTATGTATGTGTATCTATCTGGCCTCTCTCTCGTTTTCTTTGCGTCTACCTACCTCTTCAGGGTGCCAAGGCTCTGCCAGCCGCCATGAGTCCGTCCGCCGGGGGTCTGCCAATGTTCCAACAGCAGCAGCAGCGAGCTCTTCCCTATTCTTCGCACCAACGGCCTCCATCGCAGCCAGCCGGTCTTGCCGAGCCGGTCGAGAGCCATCCCATCGAACAGCCGCCAGATTATGCCGCCCTCAACGGAGGAGCATCGCAGCAGCAGCAGCAGCAGCAGCAGCCAATGGATGTGGTGCACCATCCTCCTCCTGCCACTCTGCAACCGATGGAGGGTTGCCCAGCAGCAGCAGCAGTAGCAGAGGCCCGTGGTGCGTCTCCAAGGCTTCTCACAGGACCGAGCGCCAATCTGCAGTCGGCCTTGACGTCCATTGCAGCAATCGCATCCCCGCAGAGTGCACCGGTGACGGAGTCTCATCCGATCCAACCTGATGTCACTGGATCAACTGCTGCCAGTGGTGGTGCTGGTGTGGATGATGAGGGTCGGGGCGTCAGCGGTGACCACCCTGTCCAGCATGTGATTGACAAGGTTGCTGATGGCCATCAGCAGCAGCACGAGAGAGAGATGGGGGAGGGGGAGAGAAGTGGTCAGGACTGGTCGACAGGCACTGGTTAAGTGAGTGGTTGACTTGAGAGAGACACTGAAGGCGCCTGGCCTGCAGGGGCGCAGAGAGACCGACGGATCGATGTCCAGAGGATGGGAACGTTCGGTCGTTCGTTTGTTTGATTGTCCTGTTGGTGTACTGGTGGTTTGTTTGTGTTGGGTTGGTGCACCTGTCTGTCTACCTTACCAGACGTCGCTCTCAGTGGCGTGTGTAGCAGTAAAGGGTTTTGGGTGTCTGTCTCTACTGTACGGATGCACTCACAGTGCTGTTATCGGCTATACTTTAATAAGCAAGATGGAGTGATGGATGGATGGATGGAAGGATGGATGGACACATACACACATGATGTTTGTTGTGGGCGGGCCGCTGCGTGCGTGTTGCTGGGGCCCGGCCTGCCTACTGCCTGGATCGTGTCCTGTGGGTGCTGCGGTGGGGTGCGCGATGATGGTACAGTCCAGCCGGAGAGACAGAGGACAAGTGCAGTGCGTGCAGTCATGTATTGCATTGTAGATGCACTCGTGGATCGACACACGTGCGAGCGACATGCGCACGGTGAATGAGAACTTGTGTCGTGAAACCAAGACGGACAACATCAGTATTCAACTTCTTGAATGAAGAGTGAATGGATCCCATGAGTCCACACGTCACCGCGTCAGGTGTTCCCATGCACACAGAAAAATGCCCCCACTCACTCACAGATAGACAGACAGGCAGGCGAAGGTCTCCTCCCAGCCACCCACTCACTACACTGCACCTTGCCGGTCTACACCTCTCCTGTCTGTCGCGTTGTTTCATCACTTCATCAAGTACAGATCCGCAGGCACCGACCGACCGATGCCTTGGAATCTCATACTGGATGAGGCCATGGTTACGGCACGACAAACAACAGACCAGGGCAAGTATGTCATCAGCAACAATTGCTATGGCTCGATCGTTCAGAGGCTGACCTGTCACAGCCGTCCGCAAGCTGGGGGACATGCTATGCTCATGTAGCATGTCCTCTCGCCGGCGTGTGGATGCGAGAGGTCAGCGTCTGACCGCACGGCACATCTGGTGCGACATGACGACAGTACACAAGACGCGACAGAACGTGTGAGCGCTAGTTGGGTCGAAAACAGCATCCCAAAACTGCGGCACACGCAATACACAGTCACACCCACGCACCCACCGGTGTGGAGCCGCACTCACTCTCATCTCGACCGACTGACTGACGGCACTCTGTGCATCCTATCCTGCCTGCCTCAGTCAGTGTCACACAAAACTCGCTCGCTGCACACATAACATACACACACAAGGCCAGTCACACGCGGCTGTACACAAGGCAGTACTCCTCACACGCACACACACGCATCACATACACACACATGCGTCACGCCATCCCGCCATCCATCACCGCCCAAAAAGCCCAGCGAAAAAACCGAAGGGGGCAGCAGCAGCGCCGGCATCAGAGGAGGACGATTCGCGTGCCGCAGACGATGATGAGGACCGCCTCCTCCGCCGCACCTTCATCTCAGGCTCCTTGACGAAAATCTGCTCCTTGAAGAAGTTCTTATTGGTTCCTGCACACACACACACACACACACACACACAGACCCACAGCGACGCATGGCATGAATGCGTCGGTCCCCACAATGCACCCACAGTGTTTTGCAGCTTACCTGCTGCCCTGTTGAAGAGCTGAGTGCGCACGTAGTCCTCGCACTGGGTGGCTGTCTTGCCGGGGACCCTCTCGGCGATTTGGTCCCAGTACAAGAATGCGCCGGACGGCACCTCTCGGCGTGCGGTCTCGAGGGCGATGATCTGGTTCTTCTCCCACGTAACCTCCTCAATGGCTACCTTGTCCCTGTGAGTAAGACACAGCAGCGCGGTGCGGTGCACCAAGAGCGTGCTCTCTGTGCATCAACCGGTTGTGAGTCAGTCGGGCTCCCTCCCTCACCTGTAGCCGCGGACCCGTGAGGCGCCTATCCTGCCACCGTTCAGCTTTGCAGCCTCGTAGGCATTCACTCTGTCCACTGCAGGGCCGTACCATGACGTCGCACCCACCTGGAGACAAGACAGACGCACCATGTGAGCGAGCTGCATGTGTGTGATGTGACTGATGTCGGCTGATCAGATCTATCAGATCTCATCTCACCTTGACTGGCCTTCGCCGCCTTGTGCCCTCATCTGCGTCGTCGCTCGAGCGCGCCCTCGCCCTCGCACGCGGCATGACGATCGCCTCGTCCGGGCTGGCTGACTGCTGATCTTCCGTCCTGTCCTTCTTGCCGAAGTTGAACAGATGCAACTGCGTCATTGATGGTTGTGGTGCATCGGCAGGGCGGTACAGGGACGGGACGTGGGAGTGCAGGAGAGATGCACAGGGAGATGAGTGAGGCACAACGAAAGAGAGAGATGAGCGAAGGAGAAGGAAAGCTGGCAGAATAATGCTGAACAAGAGAGCCATTGTTGCGGTGTGAGATGGGTGTGTTCCTCTTCGACTGCCTTCTCCACTAGTCAGCATGCAAGCTCGCACTGGTCGTCGAGACTGGGGGCCTGGGGGCTGCTTTGCGCGCTTTTTGTCCACTTCCTCCTTCCCCCTGAAGCCCCTGCTGCTTCGAAGCCCCTGCTGCTGGTACTGCTGGTGCTGTTGGCTGTTGTGAGCTCCGGTCCGGGAGTCTTTCAGCCACACACAAGCCTTATCAGCAGGTCTCTCCCTCCTTTGAGGGACCGCAGCTCCATAAGCGAGAGTGACCCTGCTGTGGCCCTGAACCTAGTCGTCAGACTGCCACGGGCCTCTGCAGCAAGCGTCACAGGTAAACACCGTAGCCATGCATAGGGGTGAGAAACGCCCTGTGCTGTTGTCAGGCGAGCGTCGTCGTCAAAGGGTGGCAATACGCCGGTGAGCCATTCGCAGATGAGGCCTGATGTCGGCATTTCACCGCTTGAAGTGTCCTTTCTGTTTGTATGTCAGCTAGGGGTGGTTCCAGAAGAACAGCTGCAAATGGCGCCCGCAGAAGTGGGGACATGGCAGGGCGTCGGCCAGGGATATGAGCCGCAAAAGCAGCCAGGGCACAACGCAGAGGGCACCATCAAGTACAACCCCACACCCGACTACACCATCGTCATCGATGCCCTTCTCAAGGAGAAATATCGGAGCCAGAAGACCCACGAGTGGGCGGACTGGATTGAGCACGCTCCCAAAGACACCCCGCCTGAAGAAGTGAAGGAGGGCCTCCACCTACTTGCCGATATTCTGCTCGCCCAGCCCGTCCCCACCCCTCCTGCATCACGGCCGCCCTCACGCAGAGCCAGCCGGCCGCACACGGCAACGGGTTTGCGCGAGGACATTACCAAGGCGATTGAGGAGAGGTATGGAGGGCCGGCGGATTCGGAGGCGGAGCAGGCGGCCCGTAGGAGGTGGGGGGAGATGACGAAGCTCAAGACGACATACCGGCAGGCCTATGGGACGGACAAGAGCAACCCCGCGATGGCCAAGATGAAGATGCACCCACTGCACCACATGCAGGCCGACGAGGTGGGTGGGAGGGAGGGGAGGGGGGAGAGGCAGTGGATGCTTGCTCTTCTGTACGTGTGTGTGTTGCAGTTGAGCTGCTACGACATTCTTAATCCGGAGGCGCTGCACATGATTGAGAAATGGAGGCGCAAAGCGAACGACAACGACATGGTTGGGAGACAGACACTCTGTTCCTCTCCATGAATCCACCGCCGACAGCCCAGCCCCTCCCTTGTTTGCTCTGCTCCCTGGTTGTGTCAGGCAAAGGTGACGACGGCTCTCCATGCCCTCTCAGGCGTCCTGCAGGAGCCGCCCAGACGGTGGCAGTCGCAATACAAACAGGTAGGTCAGTCAGACAGACACCACCCACCCCAAATCACACAGCACATGCCTGTGTCTCCATTCGTGTGGCTGCCTGCCTATGTTATGTTGTCAGAACTATGTGCACGACCACCGTCACAACCGCGTGTCGACGATGGCAGCGGACCACATCAAGGACAACGCGCAGTTCTCCACCCTCCCTGTCGGCACCCTCCTCTCCACCCTCAACAGCATTCACAGAGACAAGACGCTGGCCAGACGCGCCAGGGAAGACGCAGTCCGGAAAAGGACCAACATGAACACAGGTACGTACGGGAAGCGTCGCATTCACGGGCATCCATCCATCCATCCATCCGGCCGTCTGTGTCGATCTGTGTCGATCCCAGATGAGTTCGATCGCCGTATGAGGCCGCAAACAGCCGCCCCGAGGTCCGCGTCGGCCTCTCCTGCCGTCAATGAGGAAACTGCAGCAGAGCAGCCCGCAGACAAAAGGCGGCGCGCCATGACACGGCCGACCTCCCCAGAGCCGGGCGTGGGGCGGCGTGAAGAAGACCATCACCATCAGGGAGAAGAAGAGATGGTGCCTGCGGACCAGCGCAGCGACTACGTGACGTCGCACCCCTCTCTCGAAACCACTGATGCCATCCGCACACTGAAGCGGACGTACAAGCACCCTCTCTTTGGCTATACATTCCCTGTGCCCCTCGGCGGTCGTGAGGGGTGTCTCATGCCCGGCGCCGCAACCACCTACAGCCATTTCGACCAGTTCACGCCCACCTCGACGGTCCTGGCGCAGTGGCTCAAGCTGCACAACAAACAGCCGCTGCCGAGACCCGAGCCGCACTCCATCGTCGACACATACAAGACCTTTTCCGTCAAGGAATGCGCTGGCCCGCCCCCAGCCGAGCTGGCCTTCTTCCCCACCACCCCATTCGACTACTCCACCCACCCCTGGGTGAAGTCCACCCACAAACGGCCTCTCAGCGCCCCGCCCATCCGCGCCAACCCGCCCCTTCTCTCGTCAGAGCCCGTGGTCATGTTCAAACAACTCGTGGAGAGGGACAGGCGCGCAGAGGAGGCCAGGCGAAAGCAGACCTGGCAGACCGTCTTAGGCAAGATGGAGGGGCTCAAGAGGGAGGAGAGGCGACAGAGGCGCACACGGAGGGATAGAGGCGGGCCGGGGAGCGGGGGGCGGCCGTACACAGCCGGCTCGGGGCGGTCTGTTAGCAGCGGCACGTCGGCCCGGGGCCATGCCTATAAGGGGTATTACCACTATGTGCAGCCGGAATTGTCGGTGAGTGGCCAGATGCCGCGGTATCGCTACGGCAACCCGAGGGCACCCAATGGACAGTGGGGGGCCCCGGTGGAGGCCCTCGCGCCGACGGACGATCGACGAGACAGATGGGCGGCCGCCAACCTCACGTAAGTCAGGCAGACAAAGGGGGGCCCTTGCTGTCTGGTGAATGCGGCACATTGGCTCTTCTGTCTGTGTGTTGTCAGGTATGAGTCTGCCCTTTGGCAGCCTCCAAGCAAGTTCTACAAGTCGCAGGGATTCTACAGTATGGCGACGTGCACCAATCTATCTCTTGACCCTCCCTTGCTCCCTCGCTCCCTTCCTCCATGGCTGTTTGTTTCTGTGTGTGTGTTTCGTTGAGGCGGCTGGCCTTTGCGTACCAAGAGCACATACGCTGAGACATACCACAGACAGGCTGTGGCTCCACAGGTGGGTGGGGTGGGAACTTAAGACAGACACCAAGGGAGATGGTTGACGTGCGTCACCTCCTCGTGTGGTGTATGGCTGCATTCAGTACTCGTCGATGCCGATAACGCAGCTGGCCAAAAGGAAGGGCGCCACCATCAGCCAGCCTGGCCTACCTATCTCTCCCGACCCCGCCACCCTTCGTCGGTCCCAACGAAAGCTCGAAACGTGACCACACACACGCACGCACACACGGAGGCAGACAACACACATAGCCCCGACGTCCCGATCTGTGTGTGTGTCTCTGTGGCTGTGGGATCAACCAGCCTGTTCGCCTCCGGCCCGGCTCACCCCGGCTCCCGCGTGTCTCCCGAGTCCCACCTGCTCATGTACAACAGGGCAAGGCAGCCGTCAAGGGCCGCCTCGCGTGCCGATGGCGTCACTCAACGGTCGTGTGTGAGCGAGGGGGGAGGGGGGAGGAAGATGACGCTGAGGGATGCTGTTGGGAGGCGACAGTGAGGGGGTGGACGAGAGGGCTGGGGTAAGAGGGGGATTTGTTGTCTGCTGTCGGTTGTCTGTCTGACTGCCTGTTTGCCCGCGTGCATGCCGCTGCTGGTTGGTTGGGTGTATGTATGTATGTGAATTGGTTGGTCGTCGGCTGGCTGCTGCCGGCCTGCACTGCACGTGACACGTGTGTGCTGTCGTGTGCGTGTTGCGGATAGACAATGATCTTTGATTGCGGTGGAGAACGCAGGACACGGATGCGCCCACCCCTCGATCTTTCCTCTCTCTCGACAGCTCAGATTGCACCATGATGTGGACCATGTACGCTAGCTGCCTTACTTGCATAACTCGTGTGCTCAGTGCAGAGAGGGTGTTGACATCAGACGTCATCTCTCTCTCTCTCTCACAAATCAGTCTAAAGTCAGCTGGGGAGCCTTGGCGGCTCCACGTGTGTACCACGCACCATAGCACACACACACATCCCAACCTCACACGCGTTTTCTGAAGACGTCCTTGGCGTCTGAGGCAGTGACCCCCGGCTCTTGCTCTCCTCTGCCAGCCTCCCCCCCGTCGTTGCCCTCCATCTCGAACCTGACCTGCTCGTCGTTGGCCTCCTGCCCCTCTCCCTCTCCCTCATCCTCTTCGCCCTCGTCCTCCTCGACAATCTCCATTGTCCCTGTGCGTGTGACACAGACGCAGAGCAGCACGGGACAGAGGCAGCAGCTGATGCTCGATGCTCATATAGGTGGGTGGTGTGGTGGCTGGGCTGGTTGTGAGGTTATGTATCCATTGGCCAACTCACTTCTGCTGAGTGTGAAGTCTGGCCGGCGGGCCAACTCGGCCTCCATCGCCTGAAACGAACGAAGGAGGGAGGGAGGAATGTGGAGTGGACGAGTGTGTGTGTGTGTGTTGTGTCGATGTACCCACCTTTTGTCGTTCGATGGCCCGCCTTCGCTCCTGGTCGGAGACGATCTCCACCGATATGGCGTATGCACCCGTGTGCGTGCGGAAGGGGATCCGAATCGACACCTGCCCACAACGCACACAGGCAGTGCAGTGCAGTGGGTGCTGGACCACGCACATCACAGCACATACACACGTCCGTCACGTACGTCATGTGTGCCGACTGTGTTGAGCCCCTTCCACTTGTCCCTGTCTGGGAAGTCGATGTTGGACGGCAGCAGGTCCAGCTCGTGCTGGGTCGACAGGGCATCCAGGATCTGCCACACTGAGTGAGTGACACATCCAATCCAGGACGCACCGCACCCACCAATGAATGCAATCGACAGACACACACCATGACCGCTGCGATGCTGCTGCTGCTGGTGGTGGTGGTGCTGTGGTCACCAGTGAGTGGTTCGATGAGTTCGTTGAGCTTGGTGTCGTGCGTCTTGAGCACAAACTGCAGCCTGCGGAGAGCAGATCAGATAAGGGTCGCTATGGTCTCATTGTCTGTGTCAGTCATGCATCCATCCACGGGCTGTGCTCACTTGATGTCGTGGACCCAGTCGAATGAGTGTTTCTGCTGCTGGTCGAGAGAGTAGCCCAGCTGAACCGCCTCGTGCTGCACACAAACACGCACACAAACAGACACACACACACACATATACTCTAACAGGGGCACGTGAAGACGGGGAGCTGAGAGCGTGCTGTGTGGGCAGGGCACCAACCATACCATGTACTGTGGGTCGGCGTGTTCGTCGATGTTCTCCCACGTACCCCACACAGCCAACTCATTCGGCACCAGATAATGCCGCGCATACCTGGACAGACAGACAAGGCAGCCAAGCCGCACCCACCGAAACGGCCACATACGCACCCACCGTGTGTGGTGTCTGACTGTCTGGTCTGCGGCTTCTCACCCTCGCTTCACGAACACGACCTGCCCCGTCCTCCCGACGTTCTTGACATTCTGCAACACACACACACACGAGACCGCAACAAAACAAACATCTGCAGTTTGTGGGTATGATGCACACAACAAGGCAACGCGCCTCCTGCCGTCCCTCCCTGCCACTGACCTCCTTGAGCACCACGGGTGCAAACCTGGTCTTGATTCTCGGGATCCACCTGAAGCGGGAGAGGGTGCCGAACTCAGAGATGGCCGTGCGGACAGTGGTGCGCTGGCAGTCCCTGCTGCACGCCGCCTCGGCACGGAGGTCGGGATGAGTGCGGCCGCCGATGGCGCCTGAGAGATCTTTGTGAGTGGCTGCCGTGGAGAAGCCACGCGTGCGGCTCGGCACTCTGGGGAGCCTCCCGCGAACGGTGCGATGAATCAGGCACCCCGTCGTCTCCATTTTTCCCCTCTCAAGTCAGGCCATCGCTGCGTTTACGATTGATGATCTACTCGCCAAGCAGCTCCCTCGCGGTGGTGTGTCTGCGTACGATCTACTACCCTGCTGTCAAGATGCGGTGGATGATGGGGAGGATGGCCGCCACGGAGGCGCGATGAACGCGAAGTGGAGGCGTAGAAGCTCAGCGCAGGTCATCGACTCATCGGAGGCACTGCACAACGCCGATGAGTCGGTGGAGTCGATGACACATCGGATGGATGGACAAACAATGTGGATAAGTTCTCGTCTTGAGTGGTTTCTTGACTGACGTCATGCAGGTCTTGGGGCTCACTTCGCATGCCTTCACTTACAGTCACTCACGGTTTCGCACACGCACAGGTAGGACACATATCCTTCCTCACCTGCCCATGTGACTGTCTTCTGACGCGTTTGTCTGTCTGTCTGTCTGTCTGCGCATGCACTCGTTCGTTGGATCCGTGTGTCTGCTCTGCCGTATTGTGCGCCCACCGTCTATCTACCGCAACGAGACGAGACGAGACGAGACACAGTGCATTAACTGTCAGGCTGTGACGGCGTCAGCCGCCCACCAGACACGGAAAGTGAGTAATCTCTGTATCATCCATGGGTGTGTGGCCCATTGACAGGCACGCACAAAGACACCAGACGGACTTCTGGGTGAGTAGATGGCAAGCTACATCCATCCATCAGAATACGCATGTCTCTACACATCAAGGCGTGTATGCGCCGTCCATGCAGCCCCACCTCTGCCTGCCTCATGTGCTATCGACAACCCTGTCAGTGTATCGGAGATTGGCAGATCTCAGCCCGCGCTGCAGCGCATTGGTGTAATTGTGGATCGCCTGTACGCCATGCACAAACATCTCAGCTAGCAGTGCAAACCGCATACGTATGTCTGGTTGCTCACCCCGACAATCTCATCGTCGCTCTGTTCCCTCGCTTGAGCCTCCAACACCAAACCTGAACAAGTCAAATATCCCGACAGCGCAGCGCTTTCTCTGCGGTGGGCGGGCGGGTGGGTCCGTGTCGTACTCTGTTTGATCTTGGATATCTCTTCCAGCACAAAGCCCCGAAACTGCTCTGTCTCGGTGTCGTCAGACCTGCATAAGGCGAAGATGTTCCGCAGCCGCATTGACATGCTGATGCATGTAGGCAGCGAACATCGACCCTCACCTCATGAGGCCCTCCAGCTCCTTTCTCAGCAGCTTCAGGTGCTCATTCACCACTGCCATCGCGCCGTCCAGCTGACATCAATGAAATGCAAAGAGACATGTTCCGTTGTTCCCCACGGACACTCTTTTGCCGCCTCATCTCGCCACTCACAGATACCTGTTTCTTGAATGAGGTTTCGACTTCCTCTACCTTTTTGTCAATGACCTGGCTGCGGTCGTGCCGGTGGGTGCTCTCCGCATCCATGTGCTGACGTAGACGCACCACGGCCGCCTGCAGCGCTGCAGCATCCTTCTGCAAACGCACAAGGGAGGAAGGAAGCAGCAAGGGCGATAGCTACACACACATGCCTGCAGGTATGTAGGCAAGCAGTCCCACCTTCACGCGCTGAGGTATGTCGACTTGCATGGCCTTGAGCTCACTCGCCAGCACGGTGCATCGGTTCTCCAGGTTCTCAACGGCTGACTGATACACACACGCACAAACAGAACGAGACATGGATGAACTCTCTTCTTCTGGCCTCTCCTGCCTTGGTTTGTGTGTGAGGCACTTTTGTGAGCTGCATCTTCTCTCCTATGTAGTCTTGGAGGTCTCTGAGTAGCTTGTCGGTCATTTGTTCAGTGTCGCTTTTGAGGATCTTGTTGACTTCCACCCGCCGCCTCACCTCGCTGTGCAAGGTCCGCTCCAGCCGCTCCAAGTCCTCACGAAGACCCTGCATGGCACACCACGCCGCACACACGTGTATGTGTGTGTCCAATCTATCCCCCCACCTGCAGTCGGGTCTCCTCCTTGACCTTCCTCCTTCTGGTCTCCTCCCCCATCTCTTTGTCGAAGTTGGTGAGTCTCTCGCCCGCATTACACAGCTTCAGCCGCAGCCTTGCCGTCGGCTCCACATCATCGCGGGCCTCATCCACCCCACCACTGGTAGCCCCCGCTTTATCGCCTCCAACGGACTCGTGTGCCGCCTTTGGCGTGCCGTTTGCCGGTTCTGGCTGTCTGTGTATCCTCCCGTTGTCCTCTGCTCTTTTCGCCGGGTGGAGCTCGGCCTCTCCGTATTCGGTCGGGGGGGCGGTGGCCTCGACGGGCTGGGACTGAGTCAGGAAGGCCCCTGCAGGGGGCTCTGCAACAGAGCAGACAGCACAAGAAACCACAGCAGACCGATGTTGGTGGTGTGCGGGTGCAATACACTGCATCCATTCATCACCTGAAGGAGGGGCTTGAGCGGGCTGCAGCTCGCCAGGCGCTTCAGAAGGCTCCTCAGACGCCATCGCTCGGCGCAGTCTTGTGGCCCCCGCGAAAAGATCGTCCTTGGATGCATGCATTTGATCTTGCAAACGCAACACTTTTTGGCGGTGCATTCCGACATCAAGACCGTCAGTTCGCTCTGCCGCAGGTTTCAGAATGTTCTGCTGCTGTTTCCCTCGCAAGTCGTCGCCTGCACAGGCCTCCCATGATGGCGCTGCCCGGTGGTTCGGCATGGCGTTCATGCCGATGCTGATGTCGATGTTCGGCGCGGCGGCGGGCAGCAAGAAGAAGGCCGCTGAGGACCGGGCCGTCAAGGAGCTGGCCTACTCCCACCTGTTCGGGTACGAGAACCGCCGTCAGCGTGCCCACGGCCTGAAGGCCTACCTGATGGGGAGGGTGGGGATGGGCAGGCCGGCTGACGTGCGGCAGGGGGCGATTCCGTGGATCCTCATGCTGCACAACACCTTTTCACTCGGTACACCCATCGGCGGATGCATCTGCAGTGAATGCATCTGTGCATTGCATACACATGTTCTTCTCATTCTCTGCAGATGAGTCCGGTGGGGGCGTTCAAAGTGATGGAGGGAATGATGCCCACGGTGAACATCAACAAGTGGCTGCTGTTCTCAAGTATGAGCGGATGCACAACACAGACACAGGGCCCTCACTCCTTAACACTCATATTGTGTTTGCCCTCGCTCTTCTGTTCTCTCATGTCAGTTCACGTGACGGCTCTCATCTTCGGCCCAGAGGCCATTGACGACAAGGCCATTGAGGAGCAGCTGACTCTCCTAATCGCGGTCTTTGGCCATGATCTGATGCGGGCGCTGACCTTAGTGGTGCAGGGGGCCCTGCTGTTCACGCCGCTCGACAACGTCCAGGAGTGGCCCAAGGGGGTAATGGAGATGGCCGACATGGTGGCCGTGTGGAGCCGCCTCTGTGTCGGCAACGTGATGACACGGGAGGAAATACTCAACGCCTTCGATGCCCTGGCAATGAAGGAGATCATCGACGACATCACCGGCACCACAACAGGTGAGCCCCTGCACTCACCGCAGCAGAAACCCATTCACTGTGTGTCTCTGTTGATGCATGTGTGTGTGCAGTGGTGCAGTTCATCCGAGAGTGTGGTGTCTGCGTGTCGAACAGCGAGGCCACCACAAGTGAGGGCACAAAGGCCCATGTGAGCCGTGCAGAGAGCGCCTCGGCGGCCACCGAACCTGACAACGGATATGAGAGAGATGGCGCCACATGTAAGGCAGCAACACATGGCACATTTCAATGAACACACGAACCTGAGTCTATTGCCTTCTGTGCCATCCGTCTTTGGTCAGATTATGATGCCATCGAAGGATGAAGACCCACACCAGGCTGAGCTAACATCCACTGAAGGGGTGTATGAGTGATACGACTGGCTGTTGACAGTGGGTGGGGGTCATTGTGGGATTTGCTCCTTTGTCCGCCGTGGCTGCCTGCGGTGCCCATCGATGAGCACCTGCATGGCTGGCTGATGCGCAACCGTCTTCTCTCTCCTTTCTGGCTGCTGGCTGACTCTACCGCCGTCCCTTGTGCGTGTGTGTGAGTGCGGATGAGACGAGGCTCCTCGATTGGCGAAGAGACAGGAAGTTGAGTTGAGGCATGAAAGCATGCATCCACCGTCCGTCACACTACCTACCTTGCTCCCTCCCCCCATCCATCCATCCATCCATCGAACGACTCGTCAACCAAGTCCCTCCCTCTGTCCCTCCCTGTAGTAGGGCACACCAAACAACGACCAACAATGGATGTCACTCAAGTGCACACACATACGAGCCGGCAGTCTGTACACACAACACAACACCACACAGCACCAACCCACAGCCACCCATCCACCACGGACGGCATCATGGCATGACACAGCTGACTGAGCGAATACAGAGAGAGAGAAAGGAATGCGATACGAACATGCGGGCTGGTCCCTATGTAATGCAGTTATGTACGTGAGCACGAGGTACGGATGGATGCACCAGGTCGCTATATACCACATATACGTCAGTCAGTCAGTCAGTCATGTCAGCCATAGTGATGTATGCACCGCACCCATTTGTGTGCAGACAGACATCCCGCCCCCCCGCCCCTCACTGCCTGCGTGATTGATGTGGTGTACACTCACGCCCTCACTCCCTCCCTTCAACCCTTGGCTCCCTCCCACCGACCCATCGAGAAAGGCACAAACTTCCCTTCATAATGTGTGCACGTCACGTCACGTCACGCGAAGGCCTCGATCGCTCAGCTCAGACAGGTAGGTGCGCGCACACCACACTAGGTCAATCGACGGCAGACGACAGTGTTCCCCAAAAACAGGCAACCGACCAAACTTCTGACGACCCACTCTGACCCTCCCTCCCACCCACCCATCCATCCATCCTTCTTGCAGTCGGCCATCGCCATCCCATCGACGGGGCACTTTCTACCCGGTCTCTCTCTGTCTGTTCTGCCTCGGTAGGTAATCGACACGCACGTCGTCTTGTGACCAAAAATAACGCCACTCACGCGTTTTCGGTGGGGGAATCTCACAATGGACGACGGGCACGTGGACGGACATGTCTGTCACCATGGCATGGTACGGTGTGGATGTGTGTGTGTGTGTGTGTGTGCCCGGCCCCCGGCCTGTGCTGCTTGAAATATCCACGCCGTGCACGTCGGCCCATCGATCCATCCATCCATCGATCAGTAGGCCAGCCAGTCAGCCAGGCAGTCATGCAGCATAGGTACGTGGAAAGGCACCTTTGTTCCTTTCAGACAAAAATCCAAACGACGAGGAACGAACGAGTCGACAAGTGTGGGTGGGTCGGTTGTGTGTGTGCGTGAGTGTGCAGGAGGAGGGGAGGGG